GCAGCAGAGGATGGCAGCCAACTTACTTCCATCCCTCCACTCTCCTCTGTATCCCTCTTCCCTCCTATTCCCAGCCCTCCATTGCTCCTGGTGCTGCCAAGTCACAGCACTGGGAACATGAGGCTGTTTTCCAGGAGCCTTGAAGGGTCAGATAGCTCTGGCTAGCCCTGCTCCACAAGTCAGCACCAAGGCTGAAGCGGTAAAGCCAAGCCACTGGCTCTGGAGCATGAAGGAGGGCGAGGAGGGCAAATGTGGGGATTTTGCAATCCAGAAGGATTCAGTCCAACCAGAAAAATTCCAGCAGAACATTTTTCTAGTTGCAGCTTGCCCAGCTGTCAGCACCACAACACTGTGTGGAGGCCATAGGGCCCTGGACTGGAAAGCAGCTGGGATTCAGCAATTTCTGGGTATCACTGCCATAGTGTTAAAAAAGAAACAAGTGAGAGAGAAAGTAGCAAGTGAAGAGTGGGGGTGGCAATCCCAATGGAACTGGGGTCACAGTTTGAAAATACTGAATTGCAGAATCATTTAAGTCAAAAAAGCCCTCACAGGTCACCAAGTCCAACCCTTAACTCAGCAATGCCAAGGCTACACTAAACCCTGCACAGCCAGGAATGTTTCCCAGGCTGAAACATCCATCGTTATCCGTGGTTGTACAGCACCCATAACGCTCCTGGCTGCTGCATCACCTCGGCAAACCCTGGGGATGCTCCATCACCTCCTGCCCGGCTGCAGTGTCCCCTCTCCAGGGACAGAGGGGGGGTGTGATGGCAGGCCAGCAGTGACAGCACGCAGGGTGCAGGTGACAGGGAGCAGGCTGCCGGTGCTGAGGGGTCCAGGGCGGTACTCCTGGCACTGCTCCGAGCTGCAGCTCTACCCTGCCCTCCCCACCACGGCAGCGCCATCACCGCCCTGAAGCCCTCCCTGCTGCCTCCCAAAATCGCTTCTGGGAAATCCTTGGCCGCACCAAAGCCCGGCGAGCCACACACTTGGCTCCCTCCCTTTCCCCACAGCAGGTTCGGCGCTGGTTTGTGCCCGGTCCCTGCCTCTGTCCCGGCCCAAATCCCGCCGGCCGGCCCGGCCCGGTGTGTGCGTGCCCCGCAGCGCGGGTTCCGGCGGGGGCAGCCCCAGGTGGGGCCGGCGGGCGGCCGGGCCGGGGGCGGAGGCGGCGGGGCGGGCCCGGCCCATTCCCCGGAGCCGCGCGCCGGGACCAGCGGGCGGGACGGGGCCGCGGCGCTGAGGTAGGTCGGGGGTCCGGGGAGTACCCGGCAGTGGGCTTTAGCCTCGCTGCTGTGTTACTCAAATCCTGGGCTTTTCTCGCCTTTTATTTATGTTTTTTTAAGGTCACATCGTCTGCTTCGCGCAGCCCGCGGGGAGGGGGTGAGAATGGGGACTGGGGAAAGAGCGCTGAGCAGCAAGCAGCTCTCAGGGGACGGGTGTCTGGGGCAGCCTGCCTGGCACCCGGGTTTGGGGCACCCAAAACCACTGTGGTTTGGAACAGCACAGGTCCTAGAGCGGGTTGACTGGAAGAGACTTTAAGGACACCTCGTTCCAACCCCTGCCGTGGGCAGGGACACCGTCCACTAGATCGGGTTGTTCCAAGCCCTGTCCAACCTGACCCTGAACGCTCCCAGGGATGGGGCAGCCACTGTTTCTCTGGCAGCCCCCTGAGCTTCTTGTAACCAAAGCCACAAGTGATGGAGCCCAGGGAGGGCCACGGCTGGGGCTGCTGCCCGCCCGGACAGGCAGCACAGCCCCTGCCGTAGTTTGGAGGAGCCCAGGATGGCTCTGAGGAGCTCCCAGAGCATCGGGGATGACAGTGGCGCTCACCTAAACTCAGAACTGATCTTTTGGCCGCAGTCTCGGTGATGCGGGGGCCGGCGGCAGCCGCGCGTGTGCAGACGGTGGTGCCGAGTGGGCTCCAGGCAGCGGCTTGCAAAATAGTTTCACTTTAACCCTCTTATCCAACATCCGTATCAGTAGTTTTCCAAATCACTCCCTTTAGGGAATGAAAGCATTTACGCGTGGCTTCTGGCAGGAAGGTTTGGTGGTGGTGGGAACGAGATGGAGCTTCAGCTGGTCGTGTTTGCTGGGTGGTGGCTTTTGGTGTTTGTCTTTTACGTTTGAGGAAGGTTTCTGTAGCCTGCTGCGAGTTCTGGGAGACCGGCGGCAAAACCCTTCTTAGTCACCATTTCCGAAACAGCAACGTGCAATCCCTGCTAAGGAAACTGCTCACCCTCGGTGTCAGGTTTCATCCAGTTTTCCTTTAAGTCTGCAGGTGCAAGCAGGGAAAATAGGTGCCACTGTGTGACAGCATAGCTGTGTCCCTGCTGGGTGGATCAGGGAGCTCACAGGCTGTAACAAAAATTAGCCTCTCCCTGCCTGAGCCACAGCTGTCACTGCAACGGAAAGTTGGTATAAAGCTGACATAAAGCCAGTAACAGACGGAAATGGTTGTTTAATAATGCGATTCCTGCTTTGCACTCCTTAGCATCGACTGCACGAAGTGTGGTCTCATCTGCATGAGGGAAATGGGGGTGGCTGTAGGTCAGTTGATTTCATGTCACCTCCACAAGTCCTGAGTTGCAGCTGGCCACAGAGCACGGGAGTGTTGAAATAATCCAGAAATACTTGGGGCACACCCCACAGGTCAGTTGGCCCCAGAGCTGCCGCTGCTCTCCCTGTGGATGCAGGGAGCACCTTGGAGCAGCCTCACTCCTGCTTGAGTCAGGCAGCATCTCACCTGAGAGGAGCAGGTTGAGCTTTGTTAGGTTGGAGGGAACCTCATGAAGACAGCCTGTTGAGGGTTGGGCCTAAAGAACTTAACTAGCAAAATGACCTCCAGCTCTCTCCCCTCTGCCACGGTGACACAGCCTGGCAGTTTCCAGTAAACTGCAGCTTTTCTGCGAACTCTACCTCCATCCCCAGTCGCTGCGGTTGCTCTGCAGTGCACAGGATGTGGACAAGCCAGCATTGCCAAGGCAACACCCTCTGTTTTGGTTCCCCCATGCACAGGCTGGCAGCCTTTACCCCTCCAGCTCAGCCAGGCAAGCCCTGCATGCCAATGGTTTGTGGTGCCATCGCAAGCCGTCCCTCAAAAGGACCTTGTTTTCCACCCACGGCCTCCCATAACTGCAGAGGAGTGGCAGATGCTCCCCACCCTTGCAAACCAGCTCTTTCGAAGGCAGTGTGGATTAAAGAGCCTCATGCTGGATGTGCAACATTGATTAAAACTTACACAAGTGGCACGAAGCCCTGTCATGCAGAGCTGCCATCAGCTGGAGCCGTCCATCCCTGGCCACAGGAGTTCCCAGGCCAATTTCCATGTCAGCTTTCCCCTGGCTCTGCCAGCACCAAAAACAAAGATCTCATTTAGCAGGATGCTTCACAGCCCTCTCTGAGACACAGCCCTGTCTCCCAGTACCTCCCTGGCCCTGTTTTTTGGTCCCATATCTTGCCCCAAAAAACAGCTGACCTCCCAATGGCAGCTCCACATGCTTGCAGCAAGCAGTTCACGCCCATCCTGGACCACAGCGTGCAAGCAGCTCTCCATGTTCATCCCCCCTCCCTAAGGGGAGATGTCACACCAAACTGAGCAGCAGCATGGATATTCCTAAATGCAGCTCCTCATGGTACACTCAGGTTTTCAGCTGGCAGTGGGTGGCCTTGGGTAACCCCTCTGCCCTTGGAGTTGCTGCTTCCAAACACATCAGTTTTTTTACTTTCCCCTCCCCCCCCCCCCCCCCCCCCCATTTATTTTATATGAAACTGAAGAATCCCATTATTTAGCACACAGGCATCCCTTCATCTACAAAACAAAAAGCAATGCACACCCCAGAAAGAAAAGGCATTTGAAAACCAGCTGCATGGCCATGCTGGAAGATGGCCCTGGGATTTGGGTGCTGCTTGGTCAGGGCAGGGGCAGGTACCTCCACCTTCCCCTTCCAAGGGATGCACATTCGGCTTGCCCAGGGTGCCACATGTCCCCAGCTGGACACTTCCCAGTGACAATCAGCCAGGGCCACTGCAGTGCATTCAGCTCCAGTTAAAGTGGAAACATATCAAAGGGCTTTGCTTTTTTTTTTTTTTCTCCCCCTTCTTTTTTCCTCTGCAAACAATTAATTACAAGCTTAAAAGGAAGTTCCAGCCCTCCTTCCCTACCCAGAAGTTTAGAGGCAATAAATATAAAGCAGTTCAGTGCAGGAATAAAACTGTACATCCTGTTTTGTCTGAAATTAAGGTGGTTGTTGTTAGGGGATTGTTGGATTTTTTACTTCTTTTTTGGAGTCCAGTGTATCATAGGCATCCTGTATTCCTGCCTGGATAATGAGCTGTCAGGATACTTAAGGATAAGTGGCAAACCTGCAGCATGTGGGTGATAACACTGAAGAAAAGCTGCTCTGTTTATTTATGTTGCAGTGTAACCTTTACTACAGCTGCCCCCCAAAAAAAACCTAGGTGAAGATGAAGGCCAGGACAGGGAACAGGCTTTAAGAAGTGGCTCTCACTTATCTCCCCTGTGAGCAAAAGCAGATCTGGGATGCTCCCAGTTGGCTCCAGGCAGGGGGTAGGCAGAGGCTGTGTGAGATTTGAGTCTCTGAGTGGTAGCCTGTGATTTCTCAGGTGGGGATATTGATGATATTTCTGTCCTCTGTTGAGTAGTGGAATGAGGGAATGTAATGAACAGCCAGTTTTGATGCAGCAGACTGGACAAAAATCCAGTAATGATAATAATAATAATAGTAGTAGTAGTAGTAATAACAGTAATAATAATAAACTTCTTCCAGCCAAAGCTAAAACCACCTCCCAGAGCACCGCATTTCATTTGGTAAATCTCAAATGATAATTTTTTAGAAAGGCACCCAGAGAAATTCATGTTCAAAAGAGAAACCAGCAGCTAATTGGGGCCAGCTCAGCTGTGTGCTCATGCAAATCAAAACAATAAATCCACAGTGGTCAGTCTGTTTCTGAGGGACATGGATAAACCCCTTATTTTTAACAGAATCTGAGCACTTGTGGAATCCCAAATCAAGAGCTTGGCATCTGTGCTGAGGGATTCAGCTCTGGAGGTCCTGACAGTCAGGTCTGAAAGCCAGCAGCCAGAGGACACCAGTGGAACCAGACCCTGTAAGTTTGTAGGTCCCACGACAGCATTTGGAAGGCAGGTTTTCCCTTGGGAGCTGCTTTTTTGGGGGCCTGCCCAGGAGTTCCTGCCCAAGCAGCATCACAAGAGCTGTGGTTAGGGCTGGGTGGGACCTGTGGCTGCCTTTTTGGGCAAGGCTGGTGGCTTGGTCTTCCTTTAGGAGTGGGGTGTGATGGCGCAGCGAGGCAGAAGGAAGCACAGTGGTGCTAGCTGGAGAATCCTGAAACTCTCCATACAAGAGAACATCCCTTAGCAGGTGCCAAACAAGGAATAAATGAGATGCAAAGCAAGGAAAGGCAGTGCTGCAGACACGGAGAATTCAGCCAAAACCAGCCTGGGTCCCTTTCCTGTCCCTCCCTCAAGGTCCTCGAGGTCTGTGAGAGCTGCCAGAAGAAAAGATAAGGAGCTACAGGGGACAGGTGGAGCAAGCCCTCTAGGACATATTTGGTGTTCAGGCTGTACCTCTCAAGGTTTTTGGTTTTCCTTTTATTGTGCCTCAGTTTCCCAGTTTCAGGGTTTCAGGACGTGGAGATTTAAGCATTTCCTCAAGAGGCTGCAGGGCTTGAATCCCAAAGGCTGGCAAAGACTGCTGTAAAATGCTGAGCGAGGGTGAAATAGGGTGTTGGAGCTTTTTACTGCCCCTGCCACCTGTACAAGCTCTAATTTAGTGACCCCTGTGTTGAACCAGAACTGCAAACTTGCAGCACAAAGGCCCCTGCTCTACTCAGAGCAGGCCTGGCCACAGGAGAGAAAGAAAGATGTGAGCAGAGGCAGCAGCTCCCTGCCCCTGCAGGAGGGCTTCCCTGAGAGCCCTGGCACTCAGCAGCACCTCTCCCTCCCTGAGGGAAGAGGAAAACCTTACGTCAAGCCACAGAAATGCTTCTCAGCCCTACCCAAACCCTTGGAGCAATTCCCAGGTGAGGCACAGCAGCGGTAATTCCTCCTGCCAGCCAACCCTTCTCCTCCCCTGCTGTTGCCTCTGTGGCCAGCCCTGGTACATGGAGCTGTGGGTGCAGGGCTGCTCACTGGGCTCTACCAACTGAGCATCACCTGTGAGTCCCGCTGACCACAGTCCTCATCCAAAATACAGGTGGTTCAGCCACAGCCCCCACACCAAACCTGCTGGCAGTGCCCAGGGTGCCAGGGCAGCAGGAACAAACCCTGCCTCTGTACTGCCCATCCCAGACCATGAGCTCTGAGAAACAGCCTGGCCAAAGATACCCTATCCCAGATTTGGAATAAGGGGGGACCTGTGACATGTGGTGTCCTGGCTCCTGTGGCAGTATTGTGTTTCCACAATGGTCACTGGCCTACATCAGGCAAGTCCCTTCCTAGAGTCCCTTCCTAGGGCTTCTCCTGCAGACAATATTTCATCTGCTATGAAACAAGCCCTGCAAAGGGCTAATAAGAGGTCTGTGCTGTGATTGCTCAGCCAGGGCTGATGTGTAAATCCAAAGGGGCAGCATTTGTGCTTGGCTAAATTCCTAGGCAAGTAAGGATGCCCCAAGCCCTCCCTCACCCCTCCCCACAATCAAGAACAAACCCCAGGAGAGAGGAGGCTGTGGTTCTCAGATGAAGACACCCAAAGGGACATAGCAGGTAGCACAGTCCTTCCCCCACAGCTCCAGGCCCCTCCAAGGCAGGAGACATCTTACCCTGCTGAGGCTTAGGCTGTTCTGGCAGCTCCATGGAGAAAACTGTTGAGGGAGCAGGTACCTGATCCATGTGGTTTCTTGTCTCTGCAGGCACCATCCAAGGACTCTTGTGGAGCCCACTAGCTGCTTGCAGGAGCTGAGCATATCTCAAGGTGCCTTTCAGGCAGAGGGAGCAGCACAGGCAGCCTACTCAGGAGCTGACATGCAGCAGAAGATCAGCTCTTTCTTTAATTCCATCTTGGAGCTCATCCGTACCAAGCATGAGGAAGGCGTCTTCAACACCGTCTGCCTGGCCGTGCTGTTGGGTCTGCCCTTCGTTGTCCTCCTCGCCTTCATTTTCATCTGCTGTCACTGCTGCTTCTGCAGAAGGAGGGGAGAAAGCACTGGGAAAGGTGGCCCCAGCAGCAATGGGCAGCTGCATGCTGAGAGGAACAAGAAGAAAAAGAAGAAGAAGAAGAAGCAGGATGAAGAGGACCTGTGGATCTCAGCTCAGCCCAAGCTGCTCTTGCTGGACAAGAGACCCTCCTTGCCCATCTAGCAGACAGGAGGGTGTTCAGGTCCTCTCCTCTGAGGTGCCACCATTCCTTTCACCTGTGCACCAAGAGGGGCGAGGAGACACCAAAGCTGCTGCCACTTTGTGGTGACTTTTGACAGAGGCTGACCCCAGCATGCTGAAGGGCCAACAGGAAACAAGGCACAGGTTGTGCAAGCCTCTTCTCCCCCACCGTGACAGCATGCCCCGGGGCAGAGACCCCTGCAAAGGACAGGTGAGCACACAAGGGTGACTGCCACCGGGTCCTACGTCCCTCCTGCCACGAGCACAGTGCACACACGTGGGGCTGGCACACAGCGAAGGGCGTGCGAGGCTCTCCCTCTGCGCTCGGCTGCCAGCACACAGACAGGGGTGCACAGGACAGCCTTCACCCACAGACCAAGCCAGCTGCACGCTCCCCCTGCGCCACACAGACTGCTGTGAGTGAAGCAGGCACAGACACACCTCCTTTGCTTGCCCTGCCATGGAGGTGGCACAGCTTCACTGTCGAGGCTCCGTCCAAACCCAACTCGCTTTATAGACACAAAGCTGAGTTACCCCACAGCTTAAAGATGTGCCATCTACCCGGCCACCAAACCAAAGTCTCTTGTGAGCACCTGAAGCTAGATGCCCTCAGCACAACCTTGGAGACCTCAGACACCATCCTAAGGCAGCACAGCAGAAGGATGCCTTGCCACCTAGGCTAGAGGCAGGAAGGAGAGAGGAGGCTGCCAGACCAGCCCTTTTGCACCAGCACTTAAGAAAACACCTTCCTTGAAAGACTGTTTAATACAAACTTGCCATTAAAGAGCTCACCATGCTGCTGCAAGAGCAGAAATACAACCTGAGGCTGTGTAAAAGCTTTGCTATGGGCATTAGAGTTATTTATTAAATGACTACTAAAGAAGAGCAGGACCAAAGGCCCCTCTGGAGTGAGCCAGGGACATGGAAGCAGTATTGAAGCAGCAGACATGGTTTCCTGGCACACTCAGCCATCACCTCTCCCTGCAGCCCTTGTGCCATATGTCAGACACACACACAGCTCTGGAGTGAGCCAGGGACATGGAAGCAGTATTGAAGCAGCAGACATGGTTTCCTGGCACACTCAGCCATCACCTCTCCCTGCAGCCCTTGTGCCATGTGTCAGACACACCCATGAGCAGGTGCTGCCCCAGCTGATGCCAGCTCTGTGTGCTGCACTGAACATTTCTGTATGGCTGTCAGGCTGACCAGCTCTGGGATTTTGAATGTGCTGTAGAAGCAAAGTAAATTCCATGTGCACAGTCATCCCTTACACAGGGATACATTATACAGCCAGACTATGCACCTCTCTCCATCCTCATGTTCCTTGGAAAGATGGTTCAGCTGGACACAGCAGCTAACAGGACCACACGCAGCTCTCATCCCTGCTCTGCTTCCCACCTGCCCCACCCTGGCTTGTGAGCTTGTGATCCCATCCTATGTCCCTTGAGCTGGGAGTCTCCTGTGCTCCCCACTCTCTGTCCCACCAGGCTCTGTCTCCCTCATCTCTTTTTCCATTGAGGGATGCACATGTGTGATGAGAAGCCTCATCACATCTGGGTTTTGCCCTGTCTGTACACTGGATGTCTTCCTTCCATTTTCTTCCAGTTCTTAAGCTGCTGGAGCAGACCAGAGCTGCTAGCCAGAGCCAGGCATCTGGGGAACAAGCAGCCAAACCCACGTGGGCAAGCCTGGACAGAGCTGCTGGGCACAGCTGCTTCCAGCCCGGGCAAGGGTGATGCCACCTTCCCCTCACTTGGAGGACAAAGCCACCAGCTGGAAGCAGCTGCTTGTGCCACCCAGTCCCAGCACAGCCTGTTTTGTCCAATGCAGGCAGGGCTGTGATGGTCACATCATGTCACAGGGTTTGGCTGCATGTCACAGGGTTTTGTGCTGGGAACAGCCATGAGGCTGGGCTCCTCCTCACACAGCCCTTTAAATTGACCCCATATGTGCCTTATTTTCCAGTTTGCTTTGTCACCATTGAAATCAGTGACTCCCTTCTGCTCCAAAACAGGAAGCAACATATTATGGTATAAAAATTAGGATTTGCCACATGTCATGCTAGGAAACGCAGAAATAGCTCTGATCTCTGTCCCAAGCTCCCAGTCTAGCCAAGATCCTGGAGAACTAGCATTGCACTTGTATTACTCCTTCTTCCTTCCCTCCTTTCCCCCCATCCAAGTGCTTTTCTCAGCCCTCCTGCCTCCGCACTCTCCAGGTGGCCAAAGGAACCCATGCAAGTGCTGTGATCCAGAGGCAGGAGCAGCCCTGAGGCAGGGTGGTGCTGCCTGGAGGAATCAAAAAAAATCAGAGTAAAGGGAAACACGATGGGAGGCCAGAGGCTCAGCCAAACAAGCAGGGGCACGGAGGCAGCGAGCACCGTCAGAGTACAGCCTACCTGGTGTGGAGGTGCCAGCCTTTGCTGGGCTTCCTGCAGGAAGGCTTTTCTCCAGAAAGCATAGCAAGTAACTCTTCAAATGGGGGCAACCAATTCCTACAAGAACCAGAGAACTGCCAGGAAAATGTGAGCTTTGGATCACACACATCTCCAGATCCAGGCTTTGGGGAGTTCAGAGCTAGGTCTGAATTTCAAGGGCTCCCCAAAATCATCATTCAGACCACCCCTGGGCTGGGCGGGGAGGGACCAGGATACAACCCTGCCCTGATCCATCCAACCAGTGGATGGTCTGAGCCTCCACACTCCCTAAAGCATGGGGTTGGCTTCCTTGGTGTCTGCTGTTTGAGCCAAACCACGCACTGAATTGGCTGCTTCTGGAGGAAAAAGCAAAAGAGCGGCAAAAGCCTGAGGTGCACTAGAACCTGTTATCCACCAGCTGGGCAGCAGCAGCCCTGCAGCACCCATATTAACCAAGGGGGCAGAGATGCACAGTACAGAAACTCCTGCTCTCGAGACACCCCAGCCCTGCCTCCCACAACTGCATTTCAGTATCAACCTTCAATTTTCCTGAACAAGTCCATGCAACAGGGAACAACAACAAAACAAATCTTGTGCAATTTTTTTAAAACCAAAAATAAATGACTCTTAAACTGCAAACAAACACTGTATTTCGATCTCTTGGTCATGTGTTTATTTTCCTGGGGAAATCTTTCTTGTACCTGTGTCCTGGCTGTAGATAAGACACAGGGTGAGCTCAGCAGCAGAGGCTGTGCAGTGTCTGCCTGCAGCCAGCTGTGCAGCTTAGAGATTTTTTTTTAAAGAAACAGCTTAACTTAATCAAGTTAATGGCCTTGCTTTGTTAATGAGCACAGCCAAGCTGCTCTACCCAAGGGCAAGAAGTAGTGGGAAGAACAAAAGGTTTGTGCTGTGGGAGGTGGGCTGCAGGTTTGTTTTTTTTTTACAGAGGATCAGCAGCACGGACTAGTTAACCCCAGTTGGTTTTGATCAGACAAGTATTTCACGGTGTCTGCAGCTTGCTGGGCAGAGCCTTTCCAAATCCTGCACCATGGAGCTCTGCCTCCGTGAGGGCAAAAAATAAAAACCTGCTTCTCATCCGGATGAGGCTCCAAGCTGCCCCTTGCCCACAAAGCTGAGGCTCCGGAAGAGGCTGGTGAAAGAGGAGTGCACTGCAGCTAGAGCTGAGCAGCTAGAAATGGCAGAGGTCCACTTCCTGGAGAAGAAAAAAGCTTCTTGCTTCTCTCCAGATGTTAGACACTGGATTTAGGGCAAGGTGTTCTTGGGTAGCCTGGGCTGCAAGGGGAAGGGATGGTTCCAGAGTCCTGGGTTAGATATATGCAGTGGCTGACATGAAGTTTAGCATCCTGGAGCAGTCTAAAGATTGAAGGGAAGCAAAAATGCCCATTAAATCCCTCTATGGTGGAAGAATTGGACCTCACTGACCATTCCACTATTTATTCAGCCAACAAAGCCTAGAGCAGTGACCAAAAGTAACTGTACTGCTTTCCAAATAAGTGTCCAGTGCAGGAAGACACTTCAGGCTTCTCTCCAAATCACAACAACACAGAAACACAGTGTCTTTGGGAAGAGGCATCCTCTCCCTCCTCTTCATAGGTGAATACAGCAGCATTTCTCTGGGGTCCCAGAAACAGCAGATATATCACAGCAGGTGTGTCCTGGCTGGTAGGACCCAGCTACAGGATCAACACAGTGATGCCAAAGCCTTCTGGGATTCAAATTCTGTCCCAGATGTGTTGCAAATCAGTATATAAACTTTTAAGTGATCTCAGAGCGAGGCAAAGGTTTTGAGAATGTATTGACCCTCCAACATCACTGTTACAGGGCCACATATTACAGCAAAACAAGGGTAGTAAAGGGATGTGACCTTTTTATGGCACTACCCCAACCATCCTGAGCCTCAAAACCAGAACAGCCAGTCCCTCAAGGCAAACAAACTGCATTATCTGAGCAGTCCCAGCCTCCCGGGCTGTAGCACAGGCTCTAGTTAACCCCAAAAAGGTCCTTTCGCAGAGGCCAGCTGGATACCGGGAAGTCTCTCCTGCCTGAAGAGACAATGCCATCCTGTGGCTGCTCGGGAATACTGACTTTCTGCTGCGGTTTTCCAGCAGCTCTCACTTTGCCCTTCTTGGTGAGAGAGGAGCATTAGGAGTGCCAGACAGACCATCCTCAGAAACTGCAAATGAGGTGCCTCATTTGCCCTTAGCTCAAAAACAAAGCTTATACTACTTAAGGGAACATTCCCTGCTCCCGGGGGGATTCAGCTTTAGGATGGGATTGTGTTTTGCTGCTGCGCAGGAAAAAGTCACAGGTAACAATCACGCCTGCTGTTTTTTAGAGCATACACTTAATTTTAGAGTGGCTGTCTGTGAGACTGGTCCTCCTCTCCCTCAGCCACCTTCCTGATGACTTCACCGAGCCCTTTAACTGAATAACAAACTGAAATCTGTCCTTGCCTACAGACAAGTGGGCAACAGGGAGAAAACACTTCACAGTAAAGAGCCCTCATCCCTTCCCCGTGTCCTTCTCTCATGCTCTTAGCATAGAGCCTGCAAAACACTTCAAGTACAATTTTCCTTTCTACTCCTCTGACCATTAGTGTCCTCCCTCCCCCAGTCCAGGGCTTGGATATCCTAACACAGCTCAGATGAGTCTCTGCTCACCTGCCCACCCAAGAGGCACAGCCCCGAATGTAGGACGAAAAATTTAGTCCTCACCTTTGAGAGACAACTCTCTGGCTCTCCTCAGCCAGGTCCTAGCAAGCACAGGTCAGTTAAGCACTGCACAAAGTTAAGTCACAAAGAGAGCACACTCCCCATCCCTGTTTTGGAGCAGACCCCAAAGACCGAATCTGCACAGTCCCACTCCAGACCTGGGTAATGCTTTCATTTCATGCAAAATGCTTAAATAGGAAGAAAAACAATTCTACCACCCAAAGCAAAGAAGACAGAAATATTTAAGACCCCCTTTATTTGTGAATTTTTTACTTTCTCCAATGTCTGGGATGGATTCTTTAAAATGTATTACTCAGCTTAACACTGCAAAAGGCCATTAAGACATGGGACAACCATGTCCCAGTGTCCTCAGACAAGGAAGCTTTTGAACAAGCAGCATTTGGTTAGCTCATACTTCTTCCCTGGCTGGAGCTGGCTGTCCAGAATGTTAATGTCTTATCAGGGGAAAAAAAAATAAACCTCACCTTTATGGCTGTGAGTGGAGAAAAAAAAAAAAAAAAAAAAAAAAAAAAAAAAAAAAAAAAAAAGGCAGTCAAATGTGAAACGATGCACTGGGGCACACAGGATTAGTTTAACTCCAAGGGATGCTCATTTTAGAGGTGGATGACAAGTGTTATCATTTCAGCATCACTACCTGCCACACTGCTGATGAAAAAGCAGAAGGCAGCAGATGGAACAGTCACATAGGGAATTTGGTTAACCTGTAAGCAAGCAGTACAGAGAGGTAGGTCTGGGATGGTGAGCAGAGCCTGGAGGAGAGTGGACCTTACATTCACCCTGTTCTGGGCCTCACCCTGGAGAGTGAACATCAATCTACTGCACA